ATTCTGGGCAGGTTACAACAGTCTAAACATAAAACGATATATGGACTCTAAACATCTCCCTTAAGATGAATACCCATAAAAAGCAATTATAGTTAAAAGCTTGGTGGGGTAGGACCATTTGACTACTTTCCAAAATGCCATGAGGGTATTTGCACTGAGAAAGCTCCAGTGTCTGGGCCACATCAGGAAAGGCAAGATGTAACTGGAGCATCAGGAGCTAGCTTAATGTAGTATTTAAAAGGCTGGGCTTTGGCCAGTAAAATATACTGATTAAGATGTTGGCTTGCTGTACATGGCCAAAGAGCTTATTGATTTTGAACTGATCACTCTCTCTCAGCACCACCTTTATTACAGAATGCATCTGCCCGGATGATCGCTTGGGCAAATATTACATCTATACCTATCAGTTAAACTGCCTATCAGATGTTTGGGCCCTGATTATCTGACTTTAGGCAAACTTTAGTTTTTGAAATGTATTGGTACCAGAGATTGTTGCAATCAAAATGCACTTTGTGCTTTCCATGCTCTTCCTATCCTGAACAGCAGCCTATTGTGTGGGAATTAAGCAGGTAAATTGGCAACAAACTGATGGGGAAAGGATGAACCACTTATACTGACTGTGGTTTATCAATTAAAGTACAATTAGCTAGGATCATACAACATGCTAACTATAAAGAATGGTTTATAAATTACAACTGATAAGCAAAGCTCCCTCTGCTGCAAAAAAAACATTGCGTGAGGTGTGAACCTCAGTATTCCTTCAATTCATGCTGGCATTGATCAAAGCACTCCATAGGATGTGTATTTTTTTTTATTATTCTATATTTACTTTCAAAATTGTTAAGAATCCTATTATTTTCTAAGTGTGTCCCTTTTTAATTTAACATCTAACCAATTCCTTTCAGCACATATATACATAAATGCTTATACAATCTTGCATAAAGTCTGTGTGACTCCTCCCTCCATCTTCCTGTGAACTAGGGAGGAGCTTGTCTGTTTGCAATTGTTAGAGTTCTGCCCCAGACCCAGGTTTCTTTTATCTGATCCTTGCCTTGGCAGCAGCTCTTCCTCCTATCTTCCTCCATCTATCTCCTATCCTATCCCTCTGCCTTTTCACTTTCAAGACCCCAAATCAGTTTTGAAGAGGCATGAACTCAAAATAGCCCTTTCTCACAAGCTTATGTGGTATGCCCAACATTGAAATCGAGACTTCATTGTAGGTGCTACTTTACACAGGCAATATCCCTTTTTTGCATTTGCGTGTTGTCATCACTTTTACATCCATTCTGTCAGTATGCAGTTTACATTAATACCGTGCACCATTGATCATCCCTGGACAAGGGAATGTTTTGGGCCAAAGAAATTACTTATCTTACCTCCCAGCAGGAAGATGGTCTGGACTGGACTATGAAACATGCTAGTGCGATAAAGAAATGTTCCATCATTATCAGTAAGATTCCCCTCTTGCAACTTCAACTAGAAAATTGGGAACTCTTTTCTGGCTTTTTTCTAGCCCATTCTCCTGGTGTAATGAGGTGGGGGAAAAGGATACTTTCCCCTCCCCTACTTTTAAGACGTTGATCTCAATATTCAGTCTTGCTTCTGAATAGACAAGATTCCACTGTGAGAATATATATGTATGCCTCATGATTGTCTTGTGTACTGCTCATATACTGGCGAGCACCTGTAAGGACTTGGAGGGAGTTGTACCACTTTGCTTACTAATGTACCTTTTTATGTTGGCATTTTTCCATCATTATCCCTCCCCATGTTTTACCATTTTTATTAAAATTTCTTCAAAATTTAAAAAATGGGTAGTTACAACTTAATCCCTACTTCAAAACATTATGACAAGTGATAGAGAAATCATCAAATAGAATTATTCTACAATTCAGTCAAAATTTAAATGGTGGCAGTAAAAAGGAATAGAATGGAGTTGTGAATTGTGGGTTGCCACAGTTAACTGGAATTACACAAATAGATTTAAGTTCTAGCAGACTAAAGTCTCTTACTTTGTATCTGGTCCTTTTTCCTTCCCTTATCTTGATACTAGGATATGAGGAACATGCTAATTTTCTGCATATCCATCAACTTTAAAATGCAGAGTAATCGCCATTTTTTAATGGATTAACAACTAGAGAAAACCAATCCTCTCAGATATATGCATAGACTCTCAAAAGCTCTACCTATTGAGAAAAAAATTGGGCCATCATTTCATTAAAATCAAGAGGAAGATTCACTGGTGCAGCTACTGGTAGATCACTGTGAAGGAGTCCAGGCCCATTCAGAAGTTGGAGGCAGACACCAAACTGGCTGCCGGCACTGGCCTGTGTGAGCTCCACAACTTTTCTTTTGAAAAAAAGCATTTTATTGGCAAGCTATGGCTCCCTGGGCTTGTATGTGGCTATAGATTTTAAAACCAAATCTTTCCTACTAATTGTCCCTATGTTGAATAACTCCCCTCCCCCCAATTGCTCTTGAAATGTTAGTTAAATTACATAATGGTGTAGGCTTTCACAGCTGGTATCTGTTGGGCAGTGCCCGGTTTCAGGATTTAGTGACCCCAGTCTAGACAACAGATTTCCTGAAGATTGTACACCAAGTCCACCAAGCTTATTTAAGCCTCTAAGGGGTTTCACTACTGGTGTTGGTGGAAAGTGATTTGACAATGGGGAAATGGTAGAGCCTTCTCCAGCATTGCAATTCTACTCCATGCAGAAACTCCTCAGAGATGCTGTGGACTTCATTAAAAAAAAATAATTTACCCTCCCCAATCAGGGAATGCTGTCTACATTGTCTGGACTGAAAACAAAACCACTGTCTCCATTCTCACATGCATGATCCTGATTTTTGCATGTCACAGTCCAGCCTGATGCCTTGGAAGATAGCTGAGGCCCAAAGAACAAGTGATTAATTATAGTTGCACAGAGAAGTCCTAGACAGAGCAGTTATCAGCTGCATGCCAGAACAAAAGTGCAGGACTCAGAATAATCAATTTCAGAGGTTGCCTCATGTAGTGGCATCTTCCCCTTCACTGGCAGACTTCAAAGAGAGGCTAGACAGCCACCTGTCCAGAATACTTTAGCAGATCACACACTGTGCATGGGATTGGACTAGATGATCTCTGCTGCTACTGTCCATACTGATTCTTAAACACAACAGCAGTTTGATAATGGAAATTGGCAATGATGGGACTTCCTTTCCTGGATACAGGCTGGGCACCCACCTGTTGGGGATGCTTTAACTTAAGAGTCCTGCACTGAGCAGGGTGTCAGACTCAGTGGCTCCTTCCAACCCTAAATCAATGAAATATGTACAGTCAACTAAACAATCTCAAGAACAGAACCCATTGCAATTAGGTTTTGTGCTTTTTACTATAAGATTGCAGCATAAATCCCTTACAGTATATAAATTGAAAAACTAGTAACAGAGTAAAATACCGCATATTAACAAAGTCTTGTGTGTTCTATATGAAACCAACCTCCAACAACTTACAATTAAAAGCAACACTGAATTCAGTAACTCTAGGCTGTACTATTTCTTCCAGTTCCCCCCTCCCCCATTTGGAAAGCAGGTATATTCTGACCACTTTTTATTCTGAAAAGCTGCCAGCAGTGGATTTCTCTCCTAATGACCAGCTTTTTTTGGTTGCTGCTGACTTACATAGCTGAAGACTTACTAAGCAGAACTAGTCAGAAATAAAACCTAGCGCACCAAAGCTTCACAAGAAATACGCACACTTCGGCCAGCTACAATCAATGCCCTTTCCACATGAATCACCCGTAGTACAGATCAACATATTCTTGCACAGTAAGTTATAAGAACACGGAACGCATAAACTTTTCTCAACTGGCTGGCAATAGTATCCATCTCATTCTAATGACAATAGTGCCAGATTCTTGATAATTCTATAAGCAACTGATACTCGTTTAAAGGGGAAATGAGCAAAAACCCTTGCTCTTGGTCTGATGGTTTGTGGTGCAAGGGGGAATGCATAGGCAATTAACAATTGAGTGGGAAATGACACTCACTGTTCAGCCAGGATTACTTTTGTCTTTAAGGTGACTGGCTATCTCAGCAAGGTAGAAAGCCCACCAAAAGGCATTTTTTCTCCCTTTCTCAGAACTTGCTATATTGTCTTTTTTCTGATAACAGAAATTAAATCCTAATTATTCCTTCATTCTATGAATCCTGCATGTAAAAGTAAGAAAATTCAGTACCATATTCACTCCTGGATTGAACTGTATCTGCTGTGAAAAGTCTCAGAATTTGCAAGGTGCAAAATGGTCTCCAGGTGTTGCAAATCTCTTACAAGCAATTAGATGTACAGATGTACTCAGCCAGCCATGTCCTTCTTTGCTTTACAACGTTATTTGCCAGGAAAGTAACAAGGACTTTTTATGAAATATATCAGCATAAGGACACCAGACAAAGGGATGGGTTCACAAGTCAGAGCTTCTTCCCAATTGCACTTGTGTTTAAACTCCAGCTAAATAATTTATAAAGTGGCATTAAGGGATGGGGGGGGGGACCAGAGGCAAGCCATGCACACA